TCTTGGGTTGACGACTTGGCTACGCAGCAGTTGTCATAGGGTTACACTTTCAGCCTTGGCTCCGGCTCTGTTTCTTGGCGGTCTACCCGCTCGTCTTCTGTTCTCTGTTCCAGTTGTGAGGCTGAGATCTACGCAGCTGCACAAGAGTTACGCTGGCTCACCTACCTGCTGACCGACTTGGGAGAGCGGCCTCGTTCTCCTCCAGTTCTTTACGTAGACAACAAGGCCGTGATTGCCTTGTGTCAGGAGCACAGACTGGAGCACAGGACGAAGCACATCGCTCTGCGTTACTTCCTTGCTCGAGAGTTGCAGCAGCGTGGTCAGCTTCGTCTTGCTTACGTGGTCACTCGGGCCAACACTGCTGATATATTCACCAAGGCACTTCAGACTGGTGATCATCAGTGTTTCTGTACTGTTTTAGGCCTTGTGCCTACTTTGCCTCACTTGCTCACTGCGTGACTTTGCTTGTACTGTGATCTGTATGTGTATATATACCTGCATGCTTACTCTTGCTAGGGTATGATCACTGTACTGTTTGTTCTCTTTTATATAACTCTGCATGTGAACTTGCCTTATGGCCATTTTCTTGTGCCCGGAATGTGTGGTGACTCCGTGATCCACCCTGAGCTTGCGTTGCTTTTCTTGAATGGTCTTGTGACCACTTGTTTCCCCCCACTTTGCCTATTGGGGTGTGTCAAAATGTTATTTTGCTCATATTGTGTAGGCTGTAGTGGGGGGTAGCCGATAAGGGTGTACCCAACTAGGGTTAGTACTTGTACCAACTTTCTGCTCAATGCACTCATTCTCGTTCAGTATTCTAACAAACATGACTACGCGGGCCCGCGGGGGGGTCCCTTCTGGAGCGCGACGAAACGAGGGGCCAGCGGGGCCCTTTAAACGCGACGAAAAACGAGGCTTGCGGGGGCCTTTGAATGCAACGAAAAAGAGGCCCGCGGGGGCCGTCCTACCCGCGACGAGACGGAGCCTAAGGGACGGGCTCCTCGGGACCGGCTAAGGGAGGGAGCGGAAGCGTGGGAGGGAGAAAAATTACCTACTCTATTACCATCTTAAAATAGGCTAGGAAACAAGTGTCGAGAGGATGATGTGAGTAAGCAGGAACAAGTAGATACAAGTCTCGACCTGAATTGTTGTACCCTTTAGAGGGCAACTCACTGTAGCCTATCCAACAATATATAGAAGATATTAACATTTGACAGGCTGGCAGCCCAGGTGACTTTTGAGAAGACTCCAAAAGTCCTCCGGCAATTATGCTGGCACTGGCAGCTGTGCTGACACTCTTTGTGCTAGTGTAAGAGAGGAAAGTTTTGAAGGATGGAATGTAATGACAGTGAAATCCAGTCTTGGCTGAATCGGTTCATATATGTGAGGCTTTGCGAAACAATTGCGCTGTTAACAACAGCAAGCCTATGAAATCTACGTATGTGCTATTACAGTATACTTATAGCGACACAGAGAATCTTCGTCACTGTACCTTTCTTCCTGCCACAGGGCTGAGCTGCCCCCTTGAAACCACCCCTCTACGCTATTTTTCCCCTTTATTAGCAGCTTCGATCTCTTTAGAGAGCCACAGCGGCAGCCACGGCAGTGGCGAGCAGCACCAGAGCAGCAGAAACCAGATTCGACGCAGCGCCCTTGGGACCCGGGGGAGCCATGGCGGTCGCGGGAAGACCGCTGGGCTTGCCGGGGTTGGCGGTTGTAGCGGGGGTTTCGGCAGGCGTGTTCGGCTTGGGCTGTCCTCCACGGGGAGGTCCGGTCGCCGCGGGCGGAATCTCCGGCGCGGCGGTGGCCGGGAGGGGAGCGCGCGTGAACGGGACGGTGGTGGCGGAGTAGGGGAAGTCCGCGCAGATGGCGGCGGCGGGCTTGCGCCCGACGATCCCCGCGGAGCCGGTGAGGTTGACCGCGCCCTTGGGGCATTGGCGGGGGACGTTGAGGGGATCGCAGCACAGCGGAGTGGAGGGAACCTGCTCGGGACCGCCGTAGCAGCCCACGTCCTAAGAATGGGTTGCGCGGAACAGGGGAGGGACGAACGTCGATGTTTAGATGGGTGAGACGGGTCTTCAGATGGAAATAAGAGGATGTGAGCGGTAACGAACTGGTTAGAGGGGCTTGGAGCGACAATGGTGATATGCATGTACCATCTTCCGAACTTTCACTGTGTATTTCGTGACAGTGTTCTAAACAAGGTTCGCTTACATTGATGGACGCGTTGAAGTTGGGAACGGCGGAGCCAATAACGGGTACGAGCACAGACTGAATCAGATCCGCGGGAGTGAAGAGGAAGTCACCCACTTTGAGCTCGCCCACTGAAATAACGAAACAGAACGCGACGGAACGAGCGTCAGCATACGGCGCGAATCAAGCAGGTACTTCGATAACCCAGGGTAGAACGTGAGACGAGCGAGGAACTGAAACTGCAAAACGGGGTGAATTCGGGATAGTGGCTTACACGAGAGGGTGCCGCACGCGTCGTACACCTGCTGCGCGAATGCCGTGCAGATGTTGAGGATGGGCGCTCCGGTCGCCTTGCTGAAGTAGTTCCCCGAGTCTGACGCAGAAGAGTGGGAAGCGGTGGGGGATAGGGGCGTTGAGGGAAGGGGAGAGGAAAGAAGAGAAACCGCGTAGAACGCGAGACTGAACGCGAGACTCAGTCCAAGAGGAATCGGGGCCAGAGCGTCATTGAGAAAGAGAGAATCCAGGTTAGATCACTGAAACTCTGAAGTACAAGCAAAACGATGAGACGCTGCTCGTTGCAACTCCCCAGAGTTGCAGCTGACAGCGCACACGAGCTGCTCGACGAGCAGTTTGCACGTTTCCGACAGATTTTTGCTAATATATATTATTCTCAAAAGAGAATCTGCGACGAATTGAACTCACCAGGGTTGCAGCTGACAGCGCACACGAGCTGCTCGACGAGCAATTCGCACGTCTCTGAGCCCTTGAACAGCCCGCACACGTCGGCCGGCACGCCCAGTTGCGTTCCCATGCCACCCGTGTTCGCGTCGACGACAGAGGTAACGTTAGTCGTTAGGGCCCGAATCGCGTAGTTCAGGTCGAAGCAGTCCTGGCAGCACGACATTTTCGCGGCCGCCGGGCACCGCGTGTGGATTACCTTAGCGGGCTTCGGGAGTTTTCCCGTGAGTGGACATTTTGGGTAGGGTTGTGCGACTGTTAGTGGGACGAGGACGAGGAGTAGGAGCACAGCGCGTGAGACGGTCATGGCGGACGAGATGTTCCTCAAAGAATGTCCGTCTCCTAAAGGGAAGGTAAGAGTCAATCGGAGTATCAGGCCGGATCAAACAGACACTGATTGATGGTTTGAAGCAGATATGTGCTTTGATGGGAATATGAATGCTCGCTATTGCCTGAAGCTTTGTTTGATCCCTTTGACCTCACTTGCCTGAATTTGCTGGGCCGCCACAAGCGGGCAGTGTGGGTGGGGATTCCAAAAATCGAAGCGGCAAGGGGAAGACGTGAATACATTTCCGAAGCAGAAAAATAACTAAGCGCCGCGGTTGGGGCGGAGCGCGACACGTAACAGCTCTGGTTCGGTAAATGGGAGACAAATCTAGCTGGCTCTGAATGCCATCTGATTCAGCTTGATGGTATTTTTCGCTGAAAGTTTTGGCGATTCCGGCTCGGTTCGGGCCTGGTCTGGATGTGGTTCGCCAAAAGTCTGGCTGGGTTTGGGACGAGGTCAGAAGACCAGCATGCCTTCGCTTGCGCGGGCAGTTGCGTCCGTTTTCGCCTGACGCATCGCAAATGTAGCCGTCACAACTGGGCGACTTCGCTTAGCTGGTCGTGAAAGTGTCGTTGCGGCGCATGGCGAGCCGAACGGACCGGAAGCTCTGTCAGCGGCGATTCTCGAGCGAGCGGATTTTTCTTTGTGGCTCTCCACTGAATGCCGAATTTGTCGGCTCACAGTTAGAACTGCTCAAGAACGGTATCGCATCAACTTGTGATCATGGCTAGCGCAAACCACTCGCGCATGACCGCATCAATTGGCGGAAGCGAGCGGGACTCTCGTCTCCTTTGTCCGGCCTGTTGATCAGAATGTACACTTCTAATTATTCTATAATAGCGTAACGAAGTACCAGCCTAATGTAAATGACATTTTCAACAATAGCATTTTACAAAGTTCGTGACGAACATGCTCAGTCTTTGTAAGGATTGCAACCAATCTGTGGGATCAGTGGCTTTATGTTGGTTGCAAGAAAATGGTACACGGCACTTGCGTCTCCAGCAGCAAGGCGCACAACTAGCAAATCATCCTGCAAAGCAGTGGAACACGGAAGTAGGATAGAAAGTACTGTTTCTGTATCTGGTCACGAGAGAGAATGCTCAGATGACTTATAAGAGGACGGTGTGTGCACGACTATGCGGCATAATGAACCAGGAAAATGCTACATGTGTCATAGGAACAACCCCACGGAAAATGCAACAAAATAGATAACAACATAGATACTCACATGTCCCATGTCAGAGGAACAACCCCACACCGTGCTCTCCACAGCACTAGCTAGCCCCGAAACAGTTTTGGCAGACGGGGCAGCAGAGGTGACAGAAGGGGCCAGCGAAGCAGAGGAGGAATAGTTCCTGCTCCTCCTTGGGTTGAATGCTGCAGCTGCTGCCTGCACTACTGCTGCCTTCAGGTGGGCCCTCAATGCCTGTGTGCGTGGACTGGGTTCGAAGGGAGGGAGGGAGGGGGGAGAGGGGAGAGGGAAGGATGGGGCAGGCAACGCAGAGGTGGAATAGCCCCTGACCCGCCTTTCTTGGGTTGAACGCTGCAGCTGCTGCCTGCATCACTACTGCCTTCAGGTGGCCCTCAATGCCTGTGTGCGTGGACTGGGTTGGGGAGAGGGGTGGTGGGGAGGGGAGGGGAAGGGTAGTGTGGGGTGGTGAGTGATGAGAATGGGGTGGAGGAGGGGTGGTACTGCTGCCTGTGCCACTGCTGCCATCAGGTGGGCCCTCAATTCCTCTGTTCATGGACTGGATTGGGGGGAGAGAGGGAGGGGGGAGGGGAAGGATGGTATGAATGGTGGGAGATGAGACAAGTGAGTGAAAGGAATGTGTGACGCACTCAATCTGCAGCGAAAAGATAAATTTAGTTACAGCCCGTTAATATTGAGGGTGAACCAACACTCACCCCAGGACAATGATGGAGGTGAGCGCATGAATGCCCTCCAGCTGCTGTCCAGGTGGCACCACCGCATTGGCTGAAAGCTTCACCTGCAGCGTTGCAATTGGAGGCGTGGAAGAGAGAACAAGCTGGTTTACTCGTAACGCACCGATTTGCCAACTACTGTTTTGCGAATTTAGCATTGTAACAACAGAGAGGGAGCATGAAATGAAACTAACCTTGTCAAAGACTAGAGGGATCTCCTCTCCTTCCCGGTAGATGCGGTTACAGCTCTCATAACACTCCATCTCCCACACCTCTCCTCGATCCCGCCGCCCGCTCGTCAGCCAGTCGACCAATACGAGGCTGCCACCTGGCGCCACGTGGATGCTCTGCAGCTGCTGGTACTGCGATGCTCGGAAGCACGTGATTGGTTCGGGGAGCACCGCCAGCAAGGCGCCAGGCTGGATGGTTGCGGTGATGAGCTGGCGAGCTGGTGGGGTGCCTGAAAATGCAGGAGAGGGGAAGGGACACATAGTAGGAGAGAGAGAGAGGGAGGGAAAAAAGGAGTGAGGGGTGGCAGAAGGATGAGAGAAAAGGAGACAGAAGAAACTTCAGTGGGAGTGGATGAATATTCAGTGACAGGTTGGCACACTGTACTCACCTGTCATGGAGTGGAAGATCCTGGTGGATGCCTCAAAGGCGTATTTTGATATGAATTGACTAAAAATTCGTCCCAAAAAGCACCTAGTCAGTTTTGCTCAGTGCACTCACCCGGCATGGAGTGGATGGAAGATCTTGGTAGATTCCTGGGTGGGGAATTTTGGTTCAACCCCAAAAACGTCTCAAAAAACATCCTCAACTCGGCTTCGCTCACTACACTCACCTGGCATGGAGTGGAAGATCTTTGTAGATGCCTGGGAGGCAAAGACGGCCGTGGCACCGCACTGCACCGCACAAGACAGAGTCACCTTGTCTCCTGCCACTATGCCGCCCCCATAGGTGATTATGTATGCCCACACTGCGTCCACCCCTGAGGCTGCCACCTGCAACAATGGGAGAGCCGGTGGGGGAGGAAAGAGGGTGGGAGGGAAAGAGGGTGGGAGGGAAAGAGGGTGGGAGGGAAAGAGAGGGAAGCGTCAGGGGAGGCAGTGGGTGCAGCACTGCTGCTGACATGCCGCCCCCATAGGTGATTATGTACGCCCACACTGCATCCACCCCCGAGGCAGCAACCTGGGGTTGGGGAGAAAAGAGGCAGAGATGTTAGGGGAAGGAATTTAGGAGAAAATGCAGGAGAGAATTTGTTTGCACCAAACACCACGCACCTTGGAAGGCGGCATGATCTTGAGTGGGTAGCGACAAAAGCTGTATGTCTCTTTGCATGCCGAATCACACATGACACTCATGAGTGAATGGAGTTTTGAGTCGACTCAAAAATCACACATGACACTCATGAATGAATGCATTCCACCGCACAGAGTGCATTTGAACTCATGCCAGCATGTACCTTTGACGGCAGCATGATTTTGAGCGGGTAGCGACAGAAGCTCCTCGTTGCTGTGCTGCGGCCGCCCACCAGCTCCACCACCAGAACTCCAGTCCAATCCATGCCGCCCCGCCGCACACCCGCACCCGCAGTTGTAGCTGCTGTTGCTGCCGCAGCCGCTGTCGCAGCAGTTGCGTCTGCCCCACCCACGTAAGCACTACTATGAACAGAGCTACTTTCACACACTGCACCTGCTTCTTGCCCTGCTTCTCTCTCTGCTTCTCCACCCGCTCGTCTCTCTGATTCTATCTCTGTTCCGCTTCCAATCCCCCCCCGCCTCCTTGTTCCTGTCCCTTCCCCCCAGAACGTGCCTCCTCCATCTCGCCCCTCTCTTCCACACCCGATTAACTGTTCACGACACTCCCGAGGACACTTGATCACGACCTGCTCAACCAAGTCAACGCTGGTCAACGTTGGTCAACGCTGGTCAATCAAGAGAGGAAGAGTCTGCTGGTTAGTGCAGCATGCCCCGCCTGGATAATCTCCACCATGGGACCCACCTGACATGCCGCATCCATGCATAGCGGCATGGGGTCATTTCTCGGTCCTCCCACATCCCCACCACCACCCCCTCCGCTCCCATATCTTTGACCCCCATCCCCTCCTCCCACCTCCGCCACTATCCTCTCAGCATCCCTCACCATCTCCCTCTGCATCCCCGCGGCTTGCAGTGGGCCAATCAGGTTGAGCCGCGTGGCAGCAGACAGGCAGTCCCTGAGAGCGCAGTAGACGAGGCCTCGTAGGGCGGAGGGCAGCGGGATGGAGAGACACCCGCAGAGGGCTCCAAAGATCACCACGTGATGGCCGTATGCGCGAGGAGATGAGGGATTTTGAGTGGGTTGACTGGGTTGACTTGGTTGTCCCTGCTGACGTGTCCTCGTGCGATAGGTCGAGAGCAGGGGAGAGGCTTCGGGGAAGACTGTGGAGGCCACACGAAGCAAGGCTGAGCCCTGAGAGAGGGAGACCTGGTATGATGGAAATTGTGGTGAGGAGTTGGGGCAGCGCAGCACGGGTGGGAGCAGGGGAGAGGGGCTGAGGGAAGAGAGTGGAGTGGAGGTCAGTTGCATGAGAGGGGGGCCTGTGAGAGGGGGGCCCGTGAGAGGGAGGCTGTGAGAGGGAGACCAGGGGTGATAGGGCAATCGGTGGAGGGGAAATGGGGGCAATATACTGGGGCACGAAAGCAGGGTGGGAGAAGCAGAAAGTGGGAGCACAGGGCCGCAGAAGCATGGGAGCATGCAATGTCCATCACCCATACCTTGCGTGCCACGTCATTCGCCAGCATGGCGTTCAGACAGCTGTCGGCTGCTGCCAGGGCGTCGCCAAACGTGCCATGTGCCACGTGTTGCTCCACTATTGGCTGAAGGACCGGCTCTTCAAAAGAAAAACGCTCGTCCCCTAATCCTGCTGCCGTTGCTCCTGCCACTGCATTTTCCGCTGGTGCAAATCCTGTTGATGTACCTTCCGCTGTTGCAACTCCTGTTGATGTACCTTCCGCTGTTGCAACTCCTGTTGATGCACCTTCCGCTGTTGCAACTCCTGTTGATGCACCTTCCGCTGTTGCTGCCACTGCAGCTGCTGCAGCATTCCCACACGCCGATGCATTAATGCTGGCACTCGCAATCCCATGAGCCGTGGCCACAAACGGCAGCAGCAGAGCAGCGTTGGCATGCACTGCCGTGAGCACAAACACCCGCAGCGACGCCACCATCTCACTCCTTCCGCCACCTGCCCCTCCACCTGCCCCTCCACCTGCTCCACCTGCCCCTCTCCCCGCGCCACCTGCCGCACCTCCCCCTCTCCCAGCGCCACCAAGGAAGCCTGCTCGGGCTGCTGCTTCCAGTCCCAGCGAGTGCGCAAAGCCACCAGCAGGCAGCAGCGAGTCCAGCAGCTGCCACACCGCCCAGTCAGACGGGAGGGGCGGAGGGGCCTGGCGATGCTCCCCCTCCCCCTGCTGTCCTTGATTCTCCATGATGCCCCTGACTGTCACCAGCAGGCGAAGCCACCAGCAGGCAGCAGCGAGTCCAGCAGCTGCCACACCGCCCAGTCCGATGGCAGGGGCGGAGCGGAGGGGAGATGCTCCCCTTTCCCCTGCTGCTTCTCCTCCTCCCGTTGACCTTGTGCCTGCTGCTCCATTCTGCTTGTAGCTTCCTCTACCAGTTTCCCTTCCTAGTCCTAGTTCTACAAAGCAAAACAAAAGTGAAACACGTGCCAAAAGTGAAACACGTGCCAAAAGTAGCTACCCTCCTGCTTTCCCCCCTAGCCTACCCTGTTTTTCACACTCTGCTACCTACTACCTCGTACCCTTGCCCCTTTCCTCCTCAAAGCCCCCTATCTTAATCTTGTTCTCCTCCTTCTTTCTCACCCCAACCCACCTTCCCCCCACCCCTTACTCGCTTAGAACAGGAAGTAGCTCTGAGCCAGTGGCAGCTCGCCAGCTGGCTGACACGTCAGCGGTGCCCCGTCAGCGGTGACCTGGTAGGTCTCAGGGTCCACGTGGATGGCTGGGAGGGCGCCGTTGTGGATCATATCCTCCTTGCAGAGGTTGCGGCAGTTGTGCACGGGAGTCAATGTTTTGGCGAGACCGAGATTGGCTGCTGAGCCTGACTCGTGGCACAGCTGGTGTGGATGGGTGGGGAGATGGGAGATGGTAGAGGGGAGATGGGAGATGGGAGATGGGAGACGGGAGATGGGAGACGGGAGACGGGAGATGGGAGACGGGAGATGGAGAGGGGGAATGGGGAGGGGGAATGGGGACGGGGGGATAGGGAGGGCTCTGTTGTGGATCATATCTTCCTTGCAGAGGTTGCGACAGTTGTGCACGGGGGTTAGGGTCTTGGAGAGACCGAGATTGGCTGTTGGCCCTGACTCGTGGCACAGCTGGTATCACAGGGAAGAGGGAGGAGACGAAAGCCGGGATGGGGGCGAGGTGGGGAAACGGGTTGCGGAAGAGTTGGGAAAGAATGAGTGCGTGCACGTGGACATGTTTCCCACTCATTCTGTGTCCGTCATTCTGAGGAATTTCAAAGTGAGCCCGCAACAAGTGTGGGAGAAAAATGAGTGCATAATAGGGGCATCTTGGTCCTCTTTTTCCAACAAACCCGCACCAAACCAAACATCACCCATGCCTGGCATCGCCCCTTACAGTCTTACTGTGCCGCACCTTGCTGCAATTACACCATCACCATCAACACCTCCTTTCGTCAACCCCCCTGCTCTCCCTCACAGCTCACCTGGCTAACGAAAGCCAAGCAGCGCCCACCAACTGCCTTGCCACTTGCTGCAAACTGCGGTCGCATGATGACCTGGGGGAGTTGAGTTGGGGGAGGTGGGACGGGGAGGTGGGACGGGGAGGTGGAACGTGGGGGAGGTGGGATGTGGCAAAGAGGTGCGTGATAGTGAATCAAGGTGATGTTTAGCCCAGAAATCGCCTTGCCTCTTGCTGCTAACTGCCGTCACATAATGACCTGGGGGATCTGAGTTGGGGGAGGTGGCACCTGGGGATGGTGGGACGTGCGGGGTTGGGGGGAATGGGGAGGGAAGGAGTGGGTATTGAGTCGAGGTGACTGTTGAGTCGACTCAATATCTGCTTTGCATCAACAATCTGCCAGTACAACTCTGGAGTGGGGATGCTGGCATTGGCATTGCCCATCTGCGCCCACGCAATTGCGCCCCCCTTCACCACAATCTCCGGCTTCACAAACACCAAAGTTACATTTGAAACAGGCACACTCACCGGCTCGGGAGTGGGAATACTAGCATTAGCATCGCCCATTTGTGCCCACGCGATCGCTCCCCCCTTCACCACGATCTCCGGCTTCGCGCCAAAGAACGCCGGCCGCCACAGCACCAGATCCGCCATCTTCCCCACCTCCACCGACCCCACCACGTGCGAAAACCCGTGCGCAATCGCGGGATTAATCGTATACTTTGCCAAGTATCTCTTCACCCGGAAATTATCATTCGGCGCGGACCCAAGCCCCTCAGAATCTTTATCCTCGTTAAGAGGCCCGCGCTGAACCTTCATCTTGTGCGCGGTCTGCCAGGTGCGTGTGATGACCTCCCCTATGCGACCCATGGCTTGGGAGTCTGATGACATCATGCTGATTGCCCCCATGTCGTGGAGTATATCCTCTGCTGCGATGGTCTCGGCCCGGATTCGTGACTCGGCGAATGCCACATCCTCCCTGTTGTTGCTGTCCAGGTGGTGACACACCATCTGACAGGGGGGGGGATGCAAGTAGAACGGAGAAGGGGAGGAAGGAATACAGGGGCGAGTGGGTTGGTGGAGGAGGGCCGCAGACCTTCAAGTACTACATTCTCGTTTTAGTCACCACACGCACCAGCATGTCAAGGTGCTCGTCGACGGTGTTGGTGGTGAAGGGGCGGGTGGGAGTAGGGCAGGCAGTAAATCCCTAGGTAGGTACTAGAGTGCGTCCTCGTTATAGTGACCAAGCATACCAGCATATCGAGATGCTCGTCAATGGTGTTGGTGGTGAAGGGGCGAGTGGGGTTGGTGGAGGAGGGTAGCACGTTGCTCTCCCCACAGATGCTGATAATGTCCGGTGCATGGCCGCCCCCTGCTCCCTCACTGCACAATTCACGCAGTGATAGGGATAGTTGAAGGGGAGAAGTAAGGAGGAGGTTACAGGGGGGAAGGTTGGTAGAGGAGGGTAGCACGTTGCTCTCCCCACAGATGCTGATGATGTCCGGTGCATGCCCGCCCCCTGCTCCCTCACTGCAGTGGATGGGCAAAAGCAGGAGATGGGGGGGAGGAAGGAAGGTTGAGGGAAGGAAGGTAGGACGGGGAGGGAGGCAAGTTGCACACTGTGCTCTCCCCACAGATGCGGATGATATGTGACGCATGCCCCCCCTGCTCCCTCGCTGCAAGATAAGAGCAGCAAAACAGGAGAGAAGAGGGAAGGCCAGACGAGGGAAGGTTCATGGAAGGGAAAAGCAAGCAGTTCTCTCCCTGCAAATGCGAATAATATGTCTGGTGCCTTGCCGCCCCCCTGCTTCCTTGTTGCCACACGCAGCAAACGGGGAGAGAGGAACGCAGCACATGGTGCAATGTGTGATGGGTGCAATGTGTGATGGGTGCAATGTGTGATGGGTGCAATGTGTGATGGGTGCAATGTGTGATGGCTGCAATGCGCCTCCTGACTCCAACCCATTCACACGCCCAACAGTTACCAATGCCATTATATGCCATGATGGGTGCAAAATTTCTGACACATGTCCCGCCCCCTCCCCTCCCCTTCCTCCCCTCCCCCCCTCCCTTCCCCCTCACCTGTGGTAGGTATGAATGGTGCGGTTCTTGAAGGCAGCGATGGTGTGCTCCACACACGCCGACTCGTTGAGAGTGTCCGTGTGAATAGTCACCTGCGGTACTTGTTGGTTATATATCACCCGCCTGCCCTCCCCCTCTCTCTCTCACCTGTGGTAGGTGTGGATGGTGCGGTTCTTGAAGGAAGCCATGGTCTGCTCCACGCAAGCAACCCCTCCCTCCCTCCAAACCAGCCCCGCGGCCCCCCACCCCCTTCTCCCCCCCTGTCTCTCACCTGTGGTAGGTGTGGATGGTGCGGTTCTTGAAGGCAGCGATGGTCTGCTCCACACACGCCGACTCATTGAGAGTGTCCGTGTGAATAGTCACCTGCACGTCATACTCCTCCGCCACGCCCAGGCACGTGTCAATGGCTGCAGGGGTGGTGCCCCAGTCCTCGTGGAGTTTCAACCCAATTGCTCCCGCTTTGATGATGTCTAGCAGGCCCTCGGGGCTGGACGTGTTGCCCTGGAGAGAGTGGGGAAAGGGAAGGGGGAGGTACTGCTATCAGCCCTCAGTCGTCACCAGCACGTCATTCTCATCTGCCACGCCCAGGCACGTGTCAATGGCTGCAGGGGTGGTGCCCCAGTCCTCGTGGAGTTTTAACCCGATGGCTCCCGCTTTAATGATGTCCCAGAGGCCCTCGGGGCTGGACGTGTTGCCCTGGAGGGGTGGGGGAGAGAAGAGGCTGATTGATATATGTGTACTGCAGGCGTGGTGCCCCAGTCCTCATGCAGCTTCAGCCCGATGGCTCCCGCTTTAATGATGTCCCAGAGGCCCTCGGGGCTGGACGTGTTGCCCTGAGGAGTGGGGAGAGGGGAACAGGTGTTGGCATAGAAAACAAGTCTCTCTACACGCACGTCATGCTCCTCTGCCACGCCCAGGCCCGTGTCAATGGCTGCGGGGGTGGTACCCCAATCCCCAATCCTTCTTTGCCCCAGCTTCAACCCGATTGCTCCCGCTTTGATGATGTCTGTCATGGCCTCAGGGCTAGATGTGTTACCCTGCAGAGTGAGGAAAAAGGAGCGGGTGTTGAGGAGGAGGCTTGAAGTTCTCTTACACACACAGAGACAACCCCCCTCACCCACACTCATCCCCACTCACACTCACACGCTCACTCACACTGATACAATCACTCGCCTTATATGATATAAAAAGCCAATCAACCAGAAGTTGAGGCATGACTTCTGTGGCTTGCAGCATGAGCGCCCTGGCATCGGGTGATCCTGCATTCGTACACTCACAGACACACCCATACACCTGCACGCAAAGCCACACACAGACACTCACTCGCGCCCATATAACCACCCACCTTCCCTGTGAACCCAAAGTTGAGAGGCATATTATCCGTAGCTTGCAGCATGAGTGCCATGGCGTTGGGGGATGGCGTGCATGTGGTGGCTAGCGTGCCGTGTGCCGGCCCCGTTCCTCCTCCCACTAACGTCGTCAGACCTGCATGCATGCACAGTGGGAAGAGAAGGGAAGAGAAAGATGCAGGTGATAATGCTGTAGTGGTGGTGGTACTGGTCTGGTGGAAGTGACAGCATGAGTCCCACGGCGTCGGGGGATGGCGTGCATGTGGTGGCTAGCGTGCCGTGTGCCGGCCCTGTACCGCCTCCCACTAGCGTGGTCAGACCTGTACGCAAAGAATATGGAAACAGAGGCACAGTTGGGGCGAGAAAGGCATAGTTGATGGTGGCTGTAGCCTGCAGCATCAGAACTATGCATGCATCACCCACCACCAAATACTCACCACTGCAGATGGCCTCGTCCGCCAGTTGAAGGCAGATGAAGTGCACGTGCGTGTCGACGGCCTGTCCCCACCACTCACACGGCTGCTGATGCACCACGCATCACCTTCAACCCACCATTCACCACCCACCACTCACACGGCTGCTGATGCACCACGCATCACCCCCACCCCCCCACCACCCACCACTCACCACTGCAGATGGCCTCGTCCGCCAGTTGAGGGCAGATGAAGTGCACGTGCGTGTCGATGCCCCCTGCTGTGAGAATCAGCCCCTCGCCTGCTATCACCTCTGTCGTCACCTGCATGGGTGATGGCACGTGACACAAGGGCAAAGGAGAAAGAAGAGGAGGTGCTTAGTTTATGCTGAGAATTCTTGAGGCTGACTCAGATGTTTTCCTCCCGCTGTGAGAATCAGCCCCTAGCCTGCTATCACCTCTGTCGTCACCTGCACGGGAGGGGAGCAACGTGATGAGGATGGGTACGAGAGGGAGGGAGGGTGAATTGACTCTACTCAAGACTTGCCCCGCACCTGCTATAACCAAGCATGGCATCCGCTTTATAAGCTGATTCGCAATACAATGGCACTTCCACTTCTCACCAGTGCTCACTGACTGCCTCTACTACCACTCACCCCCACCACCATATTCTCGTCCACCCCATCCATCACGTCTGGGTTGCCGCCCTTGCCAAAATCAGCAAGCCCACAATGCCCATGACATCTGGCTTATGTTATGTCGGCCAACATACTCAAATCAACATCCTTATTCCCCTCTGGTACTCACCCCCACCACCATGTTCTCATCCACCCCATACATCACATCCGGGTTGCCGCCCTTCCCAATGGCAGCGATGCGCATGCCCTTGATGCCCACAATGCCCTTGACAGACATGCGGCTTGTGTCCCATAATGCCAGCCATTACACTCACCCCCACCACCATATTCTCGTCCACCCCATCCATGACGTCCAGGTTACTACCCTTGCCAATGCCTGCGATGCGTGTGCCCTTCATGCCCATACCGCCCACAATGCCCCTTCACATGCGGCTTAATGCACCGATGCCCCCACTATGCCATACCATAATGCCAGCCAGTATACTCACCCCCACCACCATGTGCTCATCCACCCCATCCATCACATCCGGGTTGCCGCCCTTCCCAATGCCCTTCATAATCACAATGCAAGATTACAGCACAGCAACCCCACCGATGACATCCAGCTAATACACCAGCTTCAAACACCCCACCCTCCATTTCCCCTCTGGTACTCAACTCATCCCCACCACCATGTGCTCATCCACCCCATCCATCACATCCGGGTTGCCGCCCTTCCCAATGGCAGCGATGCGCGTGCCCTTGATGCCCACGTCCGCCTTCACTATGCCCCAGTGATCCACTATAAGCGCATTCGTTATTATCACGTCCAGGGCGTCCTCTGCCTTCACTCCCGTTGCCTGGAAGCAAGGAGAGGGAGTGGAAACGAGAGGAGAGGTGAAGGGAGAGGCAAGACGGGGAAAGGCACATCAAGGGCAAGCATATCTACGGATAGAGCAAGGAGGAGGGTGAGGACATGGCAAGTACAGAGCTCAGGCGTTCATGTCCCCCGCTGCCCCAGCTCTCCCCACCTCAAACGCCCCCTTCCCCACTCCTCATCCGCCCCAGCCCCAGTCCCCCACTACCCCGTTCCCCCTGCCCCAACTCTTCCCACCCCAATCCCTCCCCCCCCCCCCCCCGAGGTCTCACTCACCTGCCCCATGCCTTCTCTGAGCACCTTCCCCCCTCCGAACTTGCACTCATCGCCCAGCACTGTGAAATCCCTCTCCACCTCCACCACCAGCGCTGTGTCTCCCAGTCGCACCCTGTCCCCCACTGTGGGGCCAAACACGTCTGCATACCGCTCCCTCTCCACTCGCACTGTCAGGGCCTCGTCCGTCCCCACCACCCCCTTGCTGCATGGACGAAAGGATGAGGGAGGCGGGTAGGGGAGGGAGTGAAGAGAGGTAACCCCCGTGGGGCCAAATGCAGCGCAGTGTCTCCCAGCCGCACTCTGTCCCCCACCGTGGGGCCAAACACGTCTGCGTATCGCTCCCTCTCCACTCCCACTGTCAGTGCCTCGTCCGTCCCCACCACCCCCTTGCTGCATGCACGAGATGAGGGAGAGAGGTGGGGAAGGAGAGGGAATGAGGAGTCGAGACCCTTATTCAGATGTCTCACAATCATCCCTCTGTGGGGCCAAACACGTCTGCATACCGCTCCCTCTCCACTCGCACTGTCAGGACCACGTCCATCCCCACCACCCCCTTGCTGCATGCACGAGGCGTGGGAGGGAGGCAGGGGAAGAGAGGGAGTGGGATTGAGGCCATCGTGTTTTGTGTTTGTTTCTTGGTAAGGGGTGCAAAAGGAGGAGTGGAGGAGGGACGACAACCTCACTCACAGTGCGTTGGCCTCTGGCGAATGTCCGATTCCCTTGAACACAGCCTTACCAGCCATGCCATAAGCCCTAAGCCACCACCAGGACAACTAGCAGCAGCAACACCACCACGAGCAACACCCCTCATTGACTGACAGTGCGTTAGGCTCTGGCACATGTCCGAATCCCATGGCCACAGCCTTAGCAGCCACCTTGGTCGCCCTGCTCTCGTCCACTGCTCCACTCGCTATCCCGTTGCCGCCCTGGATCACTTTCTTGCCCCCCATCGCCACCAGCACCACCTGCTTTGTCTCGCCAGGCTGCAGATGGAAGGAGTTGGAAGGGATGGAAAGAGATAACGGAAAGGAGAGGAAGGGAAGGGTGATCCAAAGCAAGTGGCACGGCAATATAACAGTGTTGCAATGCAACCTCGGATCGCCCTCTTCTTGCCCCTCATCGCCACCAGCACCACCTGCTTGGTCTCGCCAGGCTGTCGACGTGAGAAAAGGAGAGGGAGAGAGTGAGGGGCTGGAAAGGGCCTCGAGAGCAACGAGAGGTGGGGTCTCGAACGGCAGCATCGTAATGTGGTAACATGTTAACACTGTAACGTGGTAATGCGGTGGCATGTGAGCCGAGATGACTCACCTCAAAGCGCACAGCAGTGCCAGGTAGGATGTTGAGGTGGTAACCGTATGCCAGCTGGCGGTCGAAGAAAAGCAGCGGATTGGTCTCCACGAAGTGATAGTGGCTGCCCACCTGGAGGTTTGGGGTTGAAGGTTTGGGGTTGAGGGGTTTGGGGTTGAGGGGTTTGGGGTTGAGGGGTTTGGGGTTGAGGGGTTTGGGGTTGAGGGGTTTGGGGTTGAGGGATTTGGGGTTGAGAGTTTGGGGTTGAGGGGTTTGGGGTTGAGGGTTACGGATTGAAAGGTGGAACTCATGGGCAATGAAGATCAGATCAAGGAGAGATGGCATGATATGATGTGATATAACATGATTTGATATAATACGATACGATACGATATGATACGATACGATGCACATGCACCATCAAGCCCCTCACCTGAATGGGCCTGTCACATCGGCTGCTGACGCTCAGCCGCACGGCAGCCCGGCCAGCATTGAGCAGCAGCAGGCCTGTCTCTGCCACTATGATCTGCCCTGGTACGCTGGAGCCAGTGAGAGCACTGGTGGCAATAGGCGTGGCGAAGAGGTCAGGCGAGGGGACTGGTGGGACAGGGGCAAGGAAGGGAGGGGAGTGGGGGAAGGGAGATGACAGATGGGATGAAGGTTCAGCCCTGGCAGCATTGAGCAGCAGCGGGCCTGTCTCTGCCACTATGATCTGCCCCGGAGCAGCAGGGCCACTGAGAGCACTGGTGGTGACAGGCGTGGCGAAGAGGTCAGGCGAGGGGACTGGAGGGACAGGGGTGAGATGGGGGGGGAAACGCCACCAGGTTTTGGGTCAAGATTGGAAGCAAATGAAATTAGCCCCCTACAACAGCGCAAAAACGTTTCTCATTGAAACCACTGAGGTAGAGGGGGGAATGATGGAAGCAGGAAAGGGAGAGGGAGAGGGAGAGGGAGGGCAGACCTGGGATGAAGGAGCCGTGCAGTGCGAGGGAGAGGTCCCCGTTCTAGCGGCTGATGGAATGATGCACCGTGGCCAGCTTGGTGTCGCCGCCATTCCCATCCCCATCCCCATCCCCATCCCCATCCCATTAAAGCACTGACCTGGCAGAAAAGAGCCGTGCAGTGCAAGGGAGAGGACACCGTCCTCACGGCTGATGGGGTGATGCACCGTCACCAGCTTCGTGCCATCCCATGCCCATGCCCATGCCCATGCCCACCCCAACCCTCAACCCCATCCCATGAGCAATCAAGTGCAAGGACCACGCACCTGGCAGAAACGAGCCGTGCAGAGCGAGGGAGAGGTGAGGTCTCCGTCCTCACGGCTGATGGGGTGGTGCACCGTCACCAGCTTGGTGCCATCCGCATTCCTTCCCAGTAGACACGACCCATAAGCAAGCAAGCAAGTAGCAGTGGTTCTTTGAGACGCCTCACACTCACACCACTCACCTGGGAGGAAGGAGCCGTGCAGGGCGAGGGAGAGGTCTCCGTCCTCCCGGCTGATGGGGTGATGCACCGTCACCAGCTTGGTGCCATCCGCGAAGGTTCCCTCCACCTGCACCACGTCTAGCAGCACTGGCACCGCTGGCAGCACATTGCGCCTGTTAGGGGAGGGAGGGGAGAGGGGATGGGTGGGTGGGAGAGAAGGGGTAGACAAGGGAGAGAGAGGGTAGGAAACAGGGGAAAGAGGAGGCTTATGAGTCGAATCTAAAAGTTCTCTCCACCTGCACCACGTCTAGCAGCACTGGCACCGCTGGCAGCACGTTGCGCATGGTTGAGGGAAAAGCAGGGGTGGTGGGGGATGAGGGGGCAAGAGCAAGGGGGGAAAAAGGGTGAATCTTGGAACGGCTGGTCAAACTTCCCCTGCTTCTCTGGAACGTTCCCTCCACCTGCACCACGTCTAGCAACATTTTTGAGTCGACTCAAAAGGGCTGACTTTTGAGTCGACTCAAAAGGTTCCCTCCACCTGCACCACGTCTAGCAGCACTGTCACTGCTGGCAGCACGTTGCGCCTGGTTGAGGGGAGAAGAGGAAGAGTGGGGGGCAGGGGGGTTGGGAGGATGGTAGGGTGAACATTCATGCATCCCCCCACCCCTAAACATCCATGCAACCCCTCTTTCCCCCATGCATCCCTGCATTCCTTCCACCCTTCCGCTCTCCCCCCAACCAAAGAACATTGATGCATTCTCCCCTCCCCCCCTCCTCCCCCTCCCCCCCCTTCCCCGTTCTCCCCCCTCCTCCATCTCCTCCTCCACAGCACCAAGAGGAAACGAACCTTCCGAGAAGCTGCTTGCCGAGGTCCATGAGCTCTGCAACGCTCTTGCCATCTCGAATAAACTCCAGCACCTGCGTGGCGATGAGCGCCACCGCCTCGGGGTAGTTGAGCTTCAATCCGCGCGCCAGCCGCTTCTGCGCCAGCGCGCCTGCTGCATGCAGGCGCAGCTTGTCCACCTCGCGCACGCTCAGCCTCATGGCTGTGGAGGGGGGGGGGGAGGAGCGGAGGATGGAGGGGGAAGAGGCAAAGGGAGGGAGGCGAGGGAGGAAGGGAGGATATATCAAAGGCTGTGAGCGCGCCTGCTGCATGCAGGAGCAGCTTGTCCACCTCGCGCACACTCAGCCTCATGCAGACGGAGGGGAGCGCAAAGTGCAGAGTAGAAGAACAAAGGAGGAGGGGCACTGAAGGTGCAGAGGAGAGGAATAAAGTGGGAGGAAAATGCAAGGAAGGTGCAAGAGGCCCCCACCCACCTGCTAATGTTGGGCCGCCTAAGCCGCTTCTTCGAGATCTGATTCCACTCAGAAGTGGGAAACGACAAGCAATGCCACCCTCTTGCCGCAGCCGGACCCCACTAGGCAGTTCCAACCGCCAACTGCAAGGTTCGAACTCCGACCTCCTGTTTTCGAAAAGAAACTGCTCGGGGCGGGACGGATGCTGCTGGCTCCACGAAACTTCCTCGAGGAATTTGCAGCGGCGACGGTAGGCTGTGGGAAGACTAGCTCGTTTAGCGCAGTCCTGTAAACCGCTTTTGTACTCGCTATACGCTTCTTCGCTATGCCTGTACTGCGCGTAGCGAGGCGCGAGTCGGAGCGGGATAAGCGCCACTGACGCGATTGATCAGTCGCCTTAGTCTGACCAAGGTTAGTTGATCGCCTGCAGCGCTTTAAGTTCCGCGCGCGGAGGATCTTGCGCCTAGGTGCAGGAATCGCGAGGACAGATGCGTACGTTGGCCTACTGAAGTACGGAAGATGAGAGGCGGAGGAGGTGAGAGGCGAGGAAGCGAGGATGGGGGGAGGAGCACCGGTGAAGGTGATAGGGAGGGTGACTGTAGCGACGATTGGTGACAATGGGGTGAGTCCGAGTCGCAGAGAAAGCACGCGACGAGAATGAGTGGAGGATATAGTTGAGGGAACGAGACTACCAGACGGAGGGGAACTCGGAATGGCGGAGCTACTATTAGATGGAAGGGAGTGACACGGAATTAGACGCAAAAAGCCGGAGGAAATTTGACTATGTCCTGGATTCTGAGCCGTGAACTGCGGCAGTGACGTGGAATTCGAGTGACACGTGGACACTGATGGCGCTGTCCAGCTGGGCAAAGGCGGGAAATGTTGGAGGTTTTGCAGCGACGGTGGACGAGAAGGAATCGGAAAAGCGGCGAGCAGAGGCATGAACGCACGTAAGAGTCAACGCATGAGCTGCGCAGCTGATGTAACGGGGTGGATTCAGTAAGCAGAGTCAGCAACAGCACACGAAATTCAGGAGCACACCAATCGAAATCAGACGATGCGGATCCCGAAGAGCTGAAACTGAGGAGAATGCCTGGAATGCCTGAATGCCTGGAACGCGTACGTTTGAAGGAGGCAGGAACAAGAATGCCATGACAAGTTCAAGGGGGCCGGGCTGGTGAATGGTGGCAACTTCAAGGTGGATGGAGCAACTCTAGTATTGGCAAATTCCACTTTTAGAATCGTAATTCACCGCGCTCATTCGTACTGAACCGCATTGAACGATCAGCGGACGAAGGCACGAAGGATATGCTGGCGGAGCGGAAGCGGGCGCGGCCGCAAGTCAGCAGAACAACAAGTCGGCCTGCGCGACCAAAAAGGATGCGCGCGATTGCACTAGGGAAAACAGGATTGCCATTTCCACGTGGTTTTAATATCTGCCAATGGGAAAGCTCTCACGTGGTTTCCAGCCCTGATGGTCACCTTTTCCCACACAGCCTGAACCTCAATAAATCACATTCGAGGGTGTACTACCAATTCTATTATCAACTCTCCCGCTTTCAAAAACATTTTCCGGATAATATTGCCTGGAGATTTGTACCTTGTGCAGCTCAAACCTCTCTGCAGTTATTTTTCTGCAAAAAAAAATGAAATCAATCTAAAAAATATTAATCAGAATGATTGTTCTGTAGCCATGCCTGGTAATAAGGTGAGATATCATTGTTTATTTTGACCTTCTAGTCAACATTCTACTTCTGAAAGTGTTTTGAATGAACTTGTTTTGAGGTTGTGGGGAGTACACGCGCGGTCGTTGCTGTCACCGAACCAACTACAAAGCTGTCGTTACGCAGCTTCCTTGTGGTAAGGTATTTCGCCAGCCGCCGAACTGTGTCGGTCACGAAAAGACGATGTCGCTCGCGACGAAGCCGGGTCACCGCCTCTCCCCCCATCAGCGACCGCAGAGTAGCTATGCGATAAGAACTTGCGAAATAATGCGAGGCTTTCAGTAGCACAACTGGTCTCCAACACCTCAGTCCCTCGACAAGAATCGCCCCCAGAGTCCTCTGGAACTGTCTGGTCTGGTAATTTGGCAAACTTCAGTGCGGTGTAGTACGGCGTAGCCTCGACTCCGTGAAAAAACTCCACTTCTGATTCACCACCACTCCTGCATTGTTGAAACCTGTGGTGTGGTCTCCTAGTACTTTGTGGGCAAGGCATTGTGGTTGGTCAGTGATTTCTACCACCTGACAGCCAGCATTTTGGAAACCGAGGCTCCTAAAGACGCGCCTGTCATGGATCGTGCGCGCATGGCCCCGCTCCTCCTCCTCCTGCTGCTTCCCTTCGCAGCAGCCGCCCCTACCGCAGCCCCCACGGGGAAGTCCCCCCCCGCAGCCGCAAAAGCGCCCGCGCCCGCTCCGCCAGTAACTCCGCCGAAGACCCTCCCCGCGTGCCCGCTCACGGGGAAACCCGCGACGAAGCCAACAATTCCGCACTCGCGCTGCGTGGAGGCGCAGCAGCTGTCGTGCTGCGCGGACTGCGCGGATCTTACGTTCCCGATACAAGTGCTCGCGATAGATGTTGCTGCTGCCTTGGAGCCGGTGACGCAGGGTCTGGCGACTGCCCCGGCAGATGTAGGTGGTACTCGTTTGGGTTCTAAGGGTGCTTGGATGGGTGCAAATGGTACTCGCATGGTTGCCAATGGTGTTTGAATGGGTGCGAATGGGGCTGTCATGGGTGCTAATGGTGGTCGTGTGGGTGATAATGGTGCTCGCACGGGTGATAATTCTGCTCGCAATGCTAATGCTGCTCAGATGGGTGCTAATACAGCTCGGGGTACTGTAGGCGGCCTGCGCGTAATGTGTGTGATAATCGCAGCG